GCCCCAGCGTGATGCAGATCTCGCCGTGGTGCCCTTTCCCTCTACAGCCTTCGCTTCCTGAGCAAGGCCTCCCGTGACTACCAGTGATGGACGGTGGCTTTCGAAGGTGTTACGGTGAAGGAGCTGGGAGCTGTATGTCTCCACAATGTGATTTTTAAGAGCAAGAGAAAGCAAGTCCTAGACACGGGGAGTGATTCGAGGAACAGAAAAGGGAAGACATCTTCAAACCTTAGGAAAGATGTCCTGCATGAGTAGCAGGTACTGTCTGTGGTGTGGTCGTAGGGAGACCAGATTGCAGGTCATTGGAAGGAAGAATTGCTGGACGCGGGGCTATTCAAAGAACTCTCTGCCTTGGGAGCCAAGTTTCCCCTTCAAACATTGGCATGGTCAGTTGTTGCCGCGATGTCTGAGGGCATTTATGCCCTCCTAGGACAGTGGACTGGGTCTTTCCTAGCACTGCTGTTCTATGAAGCTAGATCCAGATAGCTGAGGTCATTGGAGTCAAATGGGAGCCTTCCCCTCTGTGTATTGTCAGCCACAACAGGGAGATGAGGCGGTGCCCTAAAATTCACCTTAGGACAAACTGAACGCCCTGGACCCATGAGCAAATCACTGCTTTCATTAGCGAATACAGAGAACACTGAGGTCAGGTTCAGATATAATGTTCTGTGAGGTTTTCCCCTCATGCCAACTGTTTCTAAGAGAGCAAGAGCTGTTAAGAACAATTATGGCTTCTAGAAAGACAAGGACTTTATGTAGCTGCTGTGAACTAGAATAGACAGTTAACCTGTACATGGGGTAAGTCTTCAATCTCAATTCAGCAGCACTAAGGGGAAGGCCAATGGAAAATGATAAAAAAGGTGGCAGCAGCAATTAAGAGTAATTATCAGGGGACTTGCTAGCGGTGTTATTAGGCATTAGCAATAGCAGGGATGGCAGAGGCCAAAGGAATCCCCCACTAGGATTTAAGACATTGTGAGATTCAGATGCAGATATGGCTTAGGCTGGCTTCTAATGATCTAGCTGTGGATCTAGTTGTGGGATGTGGGAACAAGGTCAAATGCTTTTCACACTTCAGGTCTTTATCCCACCTCTGTCCACTCAGTCGTTGAGTCATTCAGATCCTGATGCCAAAACCAAACCAAAAACCAAACCTATTGTGGTTGAGTTGGTTCCGACTCATAGCAACTCTACAGGACAGAGTAGTACTGCCCTATAGGGTTTCCAAGGCTGTAAATCTTTACAGAAGCAGACTGCCCATCTTTCTCCCATGGAGTGGTTGGTGGGCTCGAACCGCTGACCTTTTGTTTAGCAGCTGAGCACTTAACCACTGTGCCACCAGGGCTCCCTCAGCTGATGCCAGGTCATCAGTTTTCCCTGCTTGCCATCCTCAAAGTCCCGGGTTTTCTCCCACCTTTGCCTTCTGCCCCAGGGGTCAAGATGCCATCCTCTTCTCTGAGGCAAACCCTTTCCTTTTGTTCTTTGTTGAAAGCCCTCCCAACTTGTAACTGCTCTATCAATTATCCTTTTTCTCATGTTTCTAAGTTCTCCCTCTATGCTGGAATCCGCTTCTAATCTGCAACCAGCCTATACCGTCCTCCCTTTCTGGAGCACCATATTGGAGGAAACAAGAATGGCATGGAGGCAGAGTTGGGGGGAAATGAACAGGATATTCATGCATAATCAAGTCCAGTGAGATGTTAAACCCACTGCCTTCGAGCCAATTCTGAATCATAGCGACCCTATAGGACAGAGTAAAGCTGTCCCATAGGGTTTCCAAGGCTGTAATCTTTACAGAAGCAGACTGCCACATCTTTCTCCCGTGGAGCGGCTGCTGGGTTTGAACCACTGCCTTTCGGTTAGCAGCCAAGCACTTAGCCACCGTGCCACCAGGGCTCCTCAGTGGGATGTTAGTTCATTAAAAGACCACTGTGAGTCATGGATAGTCAAGGGGTTCAAGGGAGCGAGGGACGTGCTGAGTAGTGTTAGGTTAATGAACGAAACCTTTGTTGTTGAGCTGTTCCCATTTTAACAACTTCATTTTAGCATAAAATTATGTGCAATTAGGACTTTCTGGGAAAGTTAGATGTAGTAACTTTAGTGTTGGTGGTATTAACAACCAGGATGTCTTGTCAAGACAGGAGAAACCTGGGAGTTATAGCTAAAAAAATTAGTAATACAACATCTAGCTCCTGTCCAGAGGTGAGATGAGAAGGCAGAGTGTCAGGAGCTGGTTGAATGGACACCGGAAATCAGGGGTGGGAAGGAGGAGTGTGCTGTCACAGTATAGGGAGAGCAACTAGGGTCATGTAACAATGTATATATAAATTTTTGTACGAGAAACTAACTTGAATTGTAAACTTTCACTTAAAGTACAATAAAAAAAGTAATACAATGTCTGTAATGGTCTTAGCCCACATGTGGATAGTTGGTCCGAGCCCAGTACACACACATGAAGCTGTTCTAAGCTGCAGTAAGACCGGGTGGCATGTCCTCCTGTAGAGAAGAGTTTCCAGCTTGTGCTGCCCTCGTGGAAGCTCAAGAGAGCCAAGCAGAAGTGCTCGATAATCCAGCAATTGGGTTCCTCAAAAATGGGCTGCAGGGAGGAAGAAGTCTGCTTAGAACAAGGCCAGCTGGTCTCTTTCTAAGTCTTCCGCCTGCACGTGGTCTGCCCTTGTTTCTGCAGCTCTAGAACAGCTTACGGGTGCTTTGTACCAGGGCGAGTCTGGCGTCATCTCAGCACCGCCTTCCCTGCCTTTTTCTCACACGTTCATAGACCGTTTTTGGAATGGGCACTCGAAGATCTCGAAGTCAAACCTCAAACCCAAGGAATGTAACTAACAGAAGAGACAGCCAAGAGGGTCCTTTTTGGAGGTCCCTATGTCTCTTCTCCCCCACCTTAATTCCTTGTCATCTTGATGGTTATTATCAAGCCCTTGGGCATGTATTTAAAAGCTGTTCCTTTAAAGATGTGGTTTCTCTGCCCGATCATTGACACGAACGCCTCAACCCAGCGAGCAGCTGTCAGTAATAACCCTGATTGCTTGCAATTCCTCAGCTCTTCCTGGGCTGTCAGCTGATGGTCTGTCTCTACCTGAGACAGTGGGCTTGAGTGCTAAGTGGTGCAGAGGGGAGATGGAGCCACAGGTACAGGGACGCTAATGGCAAAGCGACAGCCTGTCCCTGCCCATATTCATGCCAACCACAGCAGCGAGGATGACAGTGGGAGGAACAGCTGTGTATCTGCACACCAGGGAACTTTAACATCAGCATCACAGAAATGGGAAATAATGAGAAAATCAGGAGTGGCGATGGGAATCCAGTGAGGAACACATTTTAAGTCATTTAGGAACCCTCAGAGTCTGCGTAAGGCAAATGAGGCTACTTTGGAACCCAGCAGTTCACCACAATCTGCTCCTCCTGCGCTATGAACCAAAAAAAGTTGCCTTGAGTCGGTTCCAACTCATGGCAACCTCACGCGTTTCAGAGTAGAACTGAAATCCATAGGGTTTTCAGTGGCTGTGACCTTTTGGAAGCAGATCACCAGGCTTTTCTTCTGAGGTACCTCTGGGTGGACTCCAACTGCCAACCTTTTTGTTAGTAGCTGAGCACTTGACCATTTCCTCCACCCATTAAGACCAAAAACCCATTGCCGTCAAGTCGATTTTGACTGACAGCGACCCTATAGGACAGAGTAGAACTGCCCCACAGGGTTTCCAAGTAGCGCCTGGTGAATTCGAACTGCCAACCTTTTGGTTGGCAGCTGAACTCTTAACCACTACGCCACCAGGGTTTCCACAGTCACCTCAAAAAGCCTAACTGAGCACCTCTGTGCAGTCAAGTAGGAGCCCTGGTAGCACAGTGGTTAAGCGCTGAACTGCTAACCGAAAGGTGGGCAGTCTGCTTCTGTAAAGATTTACAGCCTTGGAAACCCGGCTGGGCAGTTCTACTCGGTCTCTGTTCTATAGAATCGCTGAGTTGGAATTGACTCAATGGCAGTGGGGTTTTTTTGGCTGGTGCAGTCAAATATTAGCTCTTTATTCCTAAGATTGCTTGGACTTTTACCAGCTGTCTCTGGTAGGCCCATAGGTCTATAAACGTAAGGTTATAAATGGAGCAGGACCATTCTCATACAACCTCTTCACAGCACACTGGGCAGACCAGGTCCACCTCCTCTCCCTTCTCCAGTCCAACGCTGATCCTGTACTCATCTGCAATCCTTAAGAGTACTCCCCACTGCGTTGTGAAGTACCTCTTCCCTTGGACTGTCAGGCTTCTTATCATACTCCTCCCCCACACAGATAGATGATTTCCTTGGCAGTGCTGTAAGTTAACTTTTTAAAGCTATAGGTACCAAGTCTTCTCTAGCTTGACATGCAGTCAGTCCATCCCCTAGTTCAGTGGTTCCCAAACTTTAGCTGCAACAGAATTGCCTGGAGGGCTTGTTGAAACACAAATTGAGGGGCCCTATCCCCAGGATTTCTGATTCAGGGTGGACCCCTAGAATCCACATTTCTAACAAGTTCCTGAGTGATACTGATGCTACGAGTCTGGGGACCACACCTGGAGAACCACTGAGCTAGTCTGGGGCCCTGGTGGCGTAGTGGTTAAACAGCTCGGCTGCTAACCAAAAGGTCGGCAGTTCGAATCCACCAGCTGCTCCTTGGAAACCTCATGGGACAGTTCTACTCTGTCCTATAGGGTCGCTATGAGTCAGAACCGACTCGACGGCGAGGGGTTGGGTTTGGTTTGGTTTGGAGCTAGTTTAGCTTCTTCAGAAGGTCGACCTTCCTGGATGAAGCCAGCCTCCTCCTGGATGAAGCCAGCCTCCTCAGAGCAGCTTCTCAGCTTCCCAACTGCCCGTTTCCAAGTCCACTCAGAGTCTGAGCCCGGCTGACGCGCTGGGATGAGGCAATGCTTAGTAAAATAAGGGACCAAGACACCGGGATCTTGTTAGCTGGATATATTTCTTTTTTTTTTTTTTTTTGTCGTTTTTGTCACAGAACACTGTTTGCAGTAGAGGAAACTGGCATTGCAGTCGGGTTGGTATAATGGCTTGTTCACATAAACCAGTATATGTTCATCCTTTAGCACAAAAAGCCCTACTGGCACGTACCCTATTGAAACTCAGGACATCTCCAATATTTTCTCTCTCTGTTTTTCTTTGTCAGCTTTTTTAATAAACATTTTCAAGGTTTGTCCACAAGAAGGCCACAGAGGTTCTTGGCTAGCAGAAGACAACTCAGAACAGTTGTTTCACACTTGGACTACCGCCTTCTCCAGGCTGGCAGTTGATATTGTATTTTTTTCTCCAACTCATTTTTATTAAAAAAATAAAAAAATGCTCCAACTATCAGTTTTACAAAATCTCTAAGGGAAACACAAGAGCAAGGTGCTGAGGTAAAAAACACCTGAGGTAGCTTTTTTTGTGTGTGTTTTTCTTGTTAAAAAAATCTGTAAATTTTTAACGCCCTGGGCCAACGACCTCTTGGAAATTGCTATTTTCTTCCACTTTTTTTTTTTTAAAGAAAGAAATCATTTCGCCAAATATTCATGGCTTATACACCAAAATGTAAAAAGACAAAATACATTCTTTCTTTGTGGAATTTTTGTTGGGTTGGGTGGGTGGTTGGTTGGTTAGTTGGGTTCCTGTTTTCCTCTTCCAAAACGCTAGGACAAGTACCATTGACTCTTGTTCTCGTGAGTAACCAAGTGTAAGGTGAGGCTGGTTTGTGTGTTTCGCTCTTGTTCCTTTTGTGATGTGATACTCAGAGCACTGCTTTGCCGGGGGGGTGGGGGTGTGTAGGTAGGGGAACTGAGACTGAGGGATGAGGGGATTAAAAAGAATGGGGATGGAGAAGGGACGGGAGAAAGGGCAGGGGAGAGAGAAACAGAGAGAGGCAGAGAATTATATAGCAGTATGCAAAAACCAGTTTAAAACCTGTGAAGCAAAGAGAAATGGGTATGTGAGCTGGACAGGGATG